CTGTCTCTCATTCTCTCTCTCTCAAATAAATAAATAAAATCTTTTAAATAAATAAATAAATAAATATTTTAAAGGAGTTCCAAAGCTAAACATTTTTTAGGCATTTGTATGTGTGTACACACCTGTCACTACTCTAGGCTAGGTCAAAAAGGACTAACGTTCTCTCCATTTGAGTCAGTTTCTATGGGCTACTTGACTATATGTGTGCACGGTGATTAGAATCAGAAGCAGCGACACTGAAGTTGGAGGAGAGGCCTATCGGGATATTCACATTGGATTCCAAGGTGCACCACTTATAGCGTATTCTATGTGAATGGCACCCTACAATACAATATGAATGGTGTTCCCTGGAGGTGTGCAATGTAGCAGCTCCATTTTCTTTTTTTCTTTTTTTTAAAGACTTTATTTATTTGACACAGAGAGAGAGATAGCGAGAGCAGGAACACAAGCAGGGGGAGTGGGAGAGGGAGAAGCAGGCTTCCCGCTGAGCGGGGAGCCCGATGTGGGACTCGATTCCAGGACCCTGAAGGCAGACGCTTAACGACTGAGCCACCCAGGCGCCCGCAGCTCCATTTTCTATAAAAATGTGCTAAGAAGGAAAAACTTAAGGGATAAAAGAGGGTAACTCTAAAAGGCTGGGTCCCCAGACAGTTTGAAAATACTGTAATACACTGGGAAGTTCCTCACATACCAGTTCCAGACAATATATTTTTGTTAAGTACCAGAACTAATAAAGGCAATTGATTCAATTACTGTCCATTAGTCTGTTGTCCCTCGTTTCAAGATGAAGGATCACCACAAACCATGAAACTGAAGGATTCTTAAATCCAAAAAGAACAAATGAATTTAAGCCTTTACTTCTGGCCTCAGATCATCAATTTAACCTTCAAAACACACAAAAGAAGAAACCAAGTCCATCCAGAGAGGTAAAGTTACTTGCCAAGCAAATATGATTTAAGATAGAAAACAAAAACCTTTGGAGTGCCTGGGTGGCTAAGTCAGTACAGCATGTGACCCCTGATCTCAGGATTGTGAGTTTAAGCCCCATGTTGGGCATAGAGTTTACTTAAAAATAAAAACATAGAAAACAAAAACCTTAGAAAATATTAACTTATCAATGTCAAAGTTTTAAAATTAGATTTCTAAAGACAACAAAGAAATTGAAGGAATTATACTGTTATGGCTCTGGGTTTTTTAAGTCACTTTTTCATCTTTTTTGGTGTGAAAATGATAATGTGGTTATGTTTAAAAACAGAATCCTCACCTTTTAAGAGATATATGCTGAATATGTCTAGATGAAGTGATGATGTCTACAATTTGCTTCAAAATAATCTACGGGTGGAAGCAAATGGGTACAGATGAATTGATAATTGAAGCTATATTGAGCATACAGGGGTTCATCATACTCTTCTTTTTTAAAGATTTATTTATTTACGGGGCACCTGAGTGGCTCAGTCAGTTAGGCGTCTACGTTTGGCTCGGGTCATGGTCCCAGGGTCCTGGGATCGAGCCCCACATTGGGCTCCCTGCTCAAGGGGAGCCTGCTTGTCTCTCTCCCCCTGCCTCTCCTCCAGTTTGTGCTCTCTCTCAAATAAATAAAATCTTAAAAAAAAAAGATTTACTTCTTTTATTTATTTATTTGTAATGGTTTGATTTGGCTTCCATTCAGGCCTTCTCATCTCAATGTTTTTTGGGGTTTTAATTTTTAATTTAAATTGAATTTAATTAACATACACTGTAAAGATTTATTTATTTACTTTAGAAGTAGGGGGGGGGAGAGTGCACGAGCTAGAGGAGCAGAAGGAGAGGGAGAGAGAATCCTAAGCAGACTCTGCGTGCTGAGCACTGAGCCCAATGCAGGGCTTGATCTCACAACCCTGAGATCACAGCCTGAGCCAAACCCAAGAGTCAGATGCTTAACCAACTATGCCACCCAGATGCCCCACTTTTTTTTTTTTGGTAAAGATTTATTCTAGAAAGAGCAAGAGTATGTGTGTGCGAGCAGGCAGAGGATCAGAGGGAGAGAGAGAGGGAAAGAACCTCAAGCATACTCCCCGCCCAGTGCGGGTCTCCACATGGGGCTCAGTCTCCCCACTTGAAACCAAGAGTCGGATGCCCAATTGACTGAGCCACCCAGGTGCCCCTCATTATACTCATACTCTTCAACTACCTTGAAATTTCCTTTAATTAAAACATACTCACACACACAAGTATCTCCAGCATTTAGAAAACTATTTGGTACACAGTAGGTAATCAATAAACATTTGTTTACAAGAATGAATGAAAATCTACTAAAACTATGTAGTAAAGAAAAATCATGCAAACTAAGTCATTTCTTGAATAAAATAAAGCAAACTGACAACAGTCATTGAATTAATGAAGCGGAATTTTTTCTTATTTCCAAAATTTTCTTAGTATGAAAGCATTCTATAATTTCTTAAAATAAGTTTAAAGGATACTTCTGAAACATCAAGGTAATAAATTCTTCAATCCTTATGGTCCCATTTAAGGTCTAACAAGTATCAGGTCAACAAGAGCAAAACTTAATGCAAGAATACTAAAACTTTAATTCACTGGTTAATTTTGTGAGATGGAATAATAATTTAATAATCAATACACCTGGGATGCTGATTGTTTAAAATATTCATGTCCAGGGGCGCCTGGGTGGCTCAGTCGTTAAGTGTCTGCCTTTGGCTCAGGTCATGATCCCAGGGTCCTGGGATCAAGCCCGGCATCAGGCTCCCTGCTCCACAGGAAGTCTGCTTCTCCCTCTCCCACTCCCCCTGCTTGTGTTCCCTCTCTCGCTGTGTCTCTCTCTGTCAAATAAATAAAATCTTTAAATAAATAAATAAATAAAATATTCATGTCCATAGATCATTCAGCTATATGAAACAGTTAATACTATCATATACATAACAGAAAGAAATCCTAAGATTAAGGTATCTTCATAGGCAACTTGAACCTAAAATTTTATTATCCTTATTCTGAAAATTGTCATTATTTAGCTTTTCTTTAACATTTTTCACTCAGCCACTATTTCCTGATTCAGGTCACCTGTCCTCGAAGTTTAAAGGACTGGAAATAGAAATACACTGAGCCAACAAGGTGAGAAGGATCCACAAAGGTAATGAGAAAAGCTTTCCGGGAGGCAGTCTGAAGACCACCATCTTAAAACACTAAAATTTTTTGTAGTTAACAGATCACTGACCACTGCTTTAGTCAAATTTTAAACCAATTCAGCTTCTCTTTTTCCACTTCTACTAGCAGTTAACTTCTGTATAGAAATCTTAAACATATATACTTGTCTAGCAAATGATACACATAAAAAATATATAGTACAGCTTATAGAATACACGGCCATAAAATACAGAAAAAATTCAAAAATATAATTTGGGCATTAATTCTGGCAGAAAATAAGATGACTCATGTTACCTATAAAAATTTACTAATATTAGTACTAAAACTTGAATTGACAAATCTTAAGAATTTGATTACATATATTCACTTTTTACCTTTTTACAGATTCAAAAGAACAATACAAGAAGTAGAATCCCTAAGAATGGCCTCCCTGAGCTCCAGCCTCTGGAATGAAACCACTACATCTGTTTATCAGTACCTTGGTTTTCAAGTTCAAAAAATTTACCCTTTTCATGATAACTGGAACACTGCCTGCTTTGTCATTCTGCTTTTATTTATATTTACAGTGGCATCTTTAGTGGTGTTGGCTTTTCTGTATGAAGTGCTTGACTGTTGCTGCTGTGTAAAAAACAAAACTGTGAAAGACGTGAAAAGTGAACCTAACCCTCTTAGAAGCATGATGGACAACATCAGAAAACGTGAAATTGAAGTGGTCTAGCACTCTACCTAAAATGAACAAAATCTCTGAAAACAGCCTTCAACTACTGAGAAAAAAGAATTTTCTGAGGCCAACTGTTATTATGAAAATTGACTCTGAATGATTAAAAGATTTCTAAAAGAAGGAAAAACAAGTCAAATATGCACTTTTTGTGTGTGTATCCCTTTCATTAAATGTACAGTAAAACTTCACAAATGTGAATAAGTTACCAATCTACTTAAAATCACAATTCAAAAACTGGATAAAAGATTCCTAGATTTCAATATTAAGCAACAAAAGGTAAGCCAGAAAACATAAGCAAGATCAAATAACTCTGACCTAAACGAACGATGTGGACTAACAAATAAACTACCCTCCGTGTGTTTTGGTAATAAAAATGCTATTTAAAATGCTTACCTAAATCCAAAGTAAATAATTCCACTCATACATAAAATCCCTACTTATTAAAAAGAAGTATATTCTAGGTTACTGAGGACAACTTAAACATTTTTTTAAGACAAGTTTTATGTAGGGATTAATGTGGAAAAAAGTCTCAAAATAGAAAGATCACAAGTATACTTGCATAAAATTTTCATAAAACTGACTGTTTAATAAGAAACACATGGTGTAAGAAGGACCAGGCTATTTTCAATCTAAAACTTACTAGTATACCCCCTTAATTGTATTTCCTGAGCTTTTTCTTTCATTTTGCTGCTCATATTCATATTCTCAAGGGCTAAGACACACAATGCTGAAAAGACTACCTAAAAAAAAAAAAAAAAAGGCGAAAGACAGGAACACATAACACCTGTTAAGAAATACTGCAGTTTTATTTCTTGGAATTACAAGGGTTGTACAGATATTATATTTTATAACCCTAATGCTATTTTGCTACCACCCATGAGCAAACCTAAGCATGCTCTTAACCACCACAGCTGCCCTTAACCAGAAATATCATTCCTGGAAATTTACCCTGAGAAATCAGTTCAAAAGAAAAAAACTCAAGATACAAAGAGATTTCTAAAAACATTACTCAAAATAACAACGAAAAATGGAAATAACGGCCTTTAAATATATCAACTTTGCTTATTAAGAAGCTACTTTTTTTAAGTCTTATTTTGTTATGTTAATCACCATACATTTACATCATTAGTTTTTGATGTAGTGTTCCATGATTCACTGTTTGTGTATAACACCCAGTGCTCCCCTTAATACGTGCCCTCTTTAATACCCATCACCAGGCTAACCCATCCCCTCACCCCCTTCCCCTCTAGAACCCTCAGTTTGTTCCTCAGAGTCCATAGTCTCTCATGGCTCTCTGCTTCTTTTTTATTCACTGTAGGTGAGAGAATGTCAGTCACAGTTCAGAAAAAGTCCAAGTACAAAGTCTTCTCACTGTCTGGTTTAATACGAGGAGAAATTGAGACCATGCTTCAACCGGTCCTCTGCCATTACTCACAGCTGTGTTATCAATAAATCATGGATTGTAGAAAGTTTAATATGGTATTATCTGAAGAACAGATAGATGTATTTTGAATAAAGATGTATTTTGTTGCCTCTTAAAAAAAAAGCTACTGAAAATTAAGGCACAATAGAAAATATTTAATATATGAAATGAAAAATACACATCTAGGGGCACATGGGTGGCTCAGTCGGTTGGGCATCCAACTCCTCAGTTTCTGCCCAGGTCATGATCTCATGGGTTGTGGGATGGACCCCACAGGGTCTCAGTGGGGAGTCTGCTTGAAAGATTCTCTCCCTCTGCCCCTCCCCCAGCTCTCCATCTCTCTTTCTCTCTCTCTCAGATAAATAAATCTTAAAAAGAAAAATACATATCTGTCATTTTCAATTTAGAGAACTCTGTCAGTTTGGAATCACTGTTTTTTCTTTCTAACATTAGAAAATGTTTTTTCTTTCTAACATTAGAAATAAACACTTTTTGTAACCAACTTTCAAAGGACTTGTGAAACCTGGTATACAAAATACTTTGGTAACCAGGAGATATTCTGAGCACTGTTAAAACCACATTTTCATAAACGGTAAGCTCTGGAGTCCTTGCCATAAATGGGAAGCATACATATCGTTTAATTACTAAATTTTTTGATAACGGACACGACTAACTTTTCCCTACCTTATGCTGTAATTTATTTAACCATTCAACAAACATGTATTGAGTGCCTCTATGTGTGAGAGATTAGGTTACAATGGCAAACAAGTAATCATGCAATTACAATGACACACAATAGCTTTGTCAGAAATAATGAGTGCTATGGGAATCAAAGGCTAAGCACTGAATTCAAATAGGAAAGTAGAAATAATATGACTTTTAAGCTGCAACCTAAACGAGGAATAGGAGTTAGCCAAAGGAAAGAGGGAAGGAGCTAAGAAAGAACATTCCAGGAAGAGGACATAATGTGGGCAAAGGTCAAGAGGCAAAAGGGAGTAAAGCATGTTAAAGGAGCTACAGGACTGTATCACTAGGACAAAGTATAAGAAAAACAATGAGATATGGGTATAAAAGGTAATGGAGACTAGATCTGGTAGGGCATGCAGACAGCAGGAAAAGATGGGCTTTATCTGAAAAGCAACGATGATCAGCCTAAAAACAGTGACACATTAGAAAAATCACTGACTGCTATACAGAGAGAGTAGACATAAAGAAGTTAAGCTAGGAACCCTTTTAAGCACCTAATCAGACAATCCACTGATAGTGACCCAATCTAGGGGGTTATGGTAGTCTTCAGTGTTTACACCCAGCTTGGAACCCCTTGTGTCTGGGTACAGCCCTGTGACTAGCTCTAGACAATGAGTTGTGAGAGAAAGTGATGTCTCACCGCCACGCAAGAGGATTTTAACTGCCAGGCAAGATATTCGAGAGTTCTTTCTCCCTCTGGCACTGAGACCAACAACATCTGAAATATCAGCTACTCTATCAGCCTGGGTCCTTTGAGTGACTCTAAGGAGCTAAGACCCTTGCCAACACATGATAAACATGTGGTATGAAAGAAAAACAACGAATCTTTGTTGTTTTTAAGCCACTGAGATTTTGTACTGTTTAAAAAAAAAAAAAAAAAGAGGGGCGCCTGGATGGCTTAGTCGTTAAGCATCTGCCTTCGGCTCAGGTCATGGTCCCAGGGTCCTGGGATCGAGCCCCGCATGCGGGTCTCACTGCCCAGCGGGAAGCCTGCTTCTCCCTCTCCCACTCCCCCTGCTTGTGTTCCCTCTCTCACTGT